CAGTACTATCCACAAGTCTGAAAGGGGGTGCTAGAGTCCCACTCAGAGCCACTGCTCATTAAATATATGCTATGTTCTTCAAAGCACCCAACTCATGCTTTGGGATTAATTTATTTACCCATAAATAAAGTAACCATATTTTCTGAACCTCAAATTGGCCATATGGTCTGATATGTACTAGCATACTTTTTGTGAAGAAGATGCTTTAAGAAATTGGGACTGCTATGGAAACAGAAAATTGAGTCAGAAATAAAACAACTATCACAGTCCTAATCTTAATTTACATTTCAGAAGTTCATATTCCCATTTACTGCAAAAAGAGCTCTGCTCCCTTTAATCTTGAACACAAACCACTCCACCAGCCTTCTTTCACATAGGAATGCTGATCCCCATACTGGAAAGTCGGATTATCTTCTAACCTGTCATGGTTACATTGGTCTGGAAGACCCTGTGCTTTGAGTCAAGTTTCTTTGCAGGCAGGAAAACCAAGAGGTACCTTTTGTCCACACCAAATGTCCCTTGCAGAATTCAGAATGACTTTTGGGTCAGGAAGATTTCCTGGAACAGGCCCCTTTGTCACTGAATGACAACCCGTAATCATTCTAAACTGTATCAATGAAAAACAAACAAACATATAAAGAGGGATGTTACACTCTGTACCCTGCACATGAGCATATCATATGTTCACTTAAAACACGTAAACCAAACCTGAGTGTTATTTCCCACTTTACCTAGAAATGGCTGCAATGTGCGTGCTGAAGGTGCATCACAGTCCTGAAAACCAACAATGGAGAACACCATTTCTGATTCTCTTGGGATGTGGGGTTACTAGTGTTTATGATTCCACTGCAATTAAAAATAAGTTTCCGCTGGTTAATGTTGACTTTCTACAAAAGTGAAAAAATATATATACATCTTAACTTAGATGTTTCTTATTCATATATTGGATTCTATTTCAACACATACTTAATGAAAAGATTTTCTCACAAAGCTTCAGTGACCCTGCTTAACAAAACAAGTTTGACAAAGAAAACAGCAGCACTGTGAAATACTACATGTGTCTAAGCAGAAAATGAGTTTCCCAGCACAGGTTGGAACACTCCGTTTACTGACAAGATTATACTATAACAAAGGCCAAAAAATCAAAATGTTTACTTACCAACTTTCAGCATTTGTATTCACCTGGAGACTGAGGAGTAATTTTTTCATTAAGTGAATTCCTTCCCTTTAGAAATGGTTGGAAGAAATGGCTTCAAACTACACCCTATACTTTCAGCTGAGTTTACATTCTAAAAATCTCAGTCGTAAACTCCTGGTGCTGTGGTTAAGGCTTTAAACTCTTTTGTTGCTTAGATATAAAATCAAGGCTGGTATGATTCGAGGGGTTCTTAGAAAATGCCCAGATAGTCTGATACTTCCTTCGACAACATGGGATTTTGGTGCTAGAAGGAATCAAGGGATAATGTAGCGCAGTAGCCTGATTTTACACCAAACAAATAAAAACTGAGAATCAAGGAGATTAAATGATGTGTCCATGGTCAACACGCCAGCTCTCGGCTCCTAGACCAGCTGTCATTCCTCTGGCATCCACGAGCTCTTTCTCACAGGAATTAAAGAAATATTTAGTCCTCCTCTCTTCTCCATAACGATCATGCATAACTGTTTCATTTTCAAGCAATTGTGAGAGAGAACAATGCATCCACCCTTGAAAAGATTCTGATTAAGATGACCCTCAAATATTGTACATTTGGTAACATTTACTATCATCTGAAAAGCAACTAAAGGATCCCAGATCCCAAGAATAAAAATCTCTAAATGGGTCATTTCTCTTGTATGGTAGCCTCTAGGAAGAAGTTGCCTAAGTTGGTTGCAAGGAGCCCCTGGAAACATATTTCTCAGTATATAATTGTCACAAGAGGTGCTAATGCATTTTGCCTACCTTTGACTTAGAAAGAATGCTTTAAATCCATAACTGTGCTGAGGATTCTACCTTCACACATTCTCTGTAAGAGAGTGTTGTGCACAGACATGCCCCTATACAAGTCTTAGGGACTTCAGTGTTCCCTTCCCAGGGTGGAATCAAGATACAGTCATCCGAAAATTAATGCATCTTACTGGAAAAAAACAAATATACATTTAGTGATAGCCTAATATTTGGTTTGAAAGCCCAGGACTGTCTCTTCTTGACTCTTTTACCTTAAGAAAACCATGTAAAATAAAGAAAAACCCTGGAATCCCCAAATGACTATATTGCCTGAATTCTCAGAACTGTTCATTTAAAGTATGTCAATTAAATGTAATGTAAGTTTTCTGATTTTAAAAGGTGTTGTAGAGCCCTGGCCAGTTTGGCTCAGCAGTTGGAGTGTTGGCCCGAAGACCAGAGTCGCGGGTTTGATTCCGGTCAAGGCCACATCCCTCGGTTGCACTTTGGTCCCCAGCCCTGGTTGGGGTCCTGTGGGAGGTGAGACCAATCAATGTGCTTTTCTTGGATCTCTCTCTCTCTCTCTCTCTCTCTCTCTCTCTCTCTCTCTCTCTCTCTCCTTCCCACTCTATCTGAAAATATATGAAAAAATGTCCTCGGGTGAGGATTTAAATAAATAAATAAATAAAATAAAAATAAAAAGATGTAGAAACAATGAAATACAATCTGTTTTCCGTTCCAAACATAGCTAAGCCATTACTAGTGCTACTATCAAATGTTCAATTAATATCCAATGCTGGAGAGCATGCATTTAAACTTCTTCAAAATGTAATCTGACCTAGTTGAGTACAGCAAAAGAGAGGTGTACTTTGTCTGTGGGGTCAATGTTATACCAGGACATGCCTGAAATCTTCCCCCAAAAGAAGAAACTGCAGCAGTTACTTAATGATAGGCTATCTTGTGTGTCTGCAAATCAACTTCTTGTAAGGAGCCCAAAATTAAAGAAATAACCCATGATTTTCACAACATCCTAACAAAACAGATAACTCATGGGTTCTACATCTCTTTTCTCCCAGAAGAAGATTAAGCCATTTAGACATAAAACCGGGCATTCACAGGGAACTTGGTTCAGAGTTTCCACATGTTCTCATTTGCTTTCCCATAACAATGGGTGTAACACATGTTTGGTGTGCCCTCTTTTCTACTGTGGAGGAGACTGGGGTGTAGAGATGAACAGGGTGACTTTTCCAAATGAATGGTGGCCAACCTAAACAGCCTTATATGGCTAGTCCAGTGTTTGTTACGTTTTTATTCCTAACCCAAAATATATGATAATATATTTTGAAGTCATCTTACAAGATGGCATGTCCTTGTTTGTCACTCTCTATTGTCCACTAGAGAACTTCAGTCTACACATTCAATCAACTCCTCTGCTTGCTGCTTTTCATTCTCCAAAGGTGTTCTCAAGAGGTGTTTCTCTATAAGCAGTGGGGAGGAAATGGGAAGAAGGAAGTATCTTTGCTTTGAAACCTAACATTGGATTTACTTTGAAATTCAAAGATCATTAAAAGAGAGGTAAAATTTGTATTATTACCAAATGATGGCCTGGGATTAAAAAGCTTGAGAAGAGTTATTCTAGGTTGTTTTTTTTTCCCCCTTTTCAAAGTTCACCATTGTCAGAGTTCATTATGTACTGAGATACCCTACCTAGTGTCTTTTCCCCAAACCTCAGGACAACCATTCATTCTATAAAGAACAGAAGTTGAAGAAACACTAGTGAGAATAGGCCTATTCTGTACTTTGAGTTTGCTAACCTGTATCTCATTATAACTTAGTAGTGCAAGTCCAGTCCCTAGCTGTTACCTCACATTCTAGAACACCTCGTCGTAAGTTAAACGCTTAGATGTGTCATAAATTCCTTTAATATAATAATGATGGTGATGTCGAAACCAAATGTTTTGACACAATTCTTTCTTATACCAATTTGAGCAAATAAAATGCCAAATTCTGAGGTGAATCCCCACATTCTGCTCATCTTCACAAAGAAATACATTTAATAAATCTAGCATTTATGTTGCACATTTAATGAATAGAAAGCTCTTAAGCCACAATCACTGTAGCGGCTGGGCGTCTTATTTCTTCAAGATTTCTTTCAGTGCATGCATTAGCTTTGGTTAAATTACTCTGGATTTAAAGGCAGAAGAATATTTAAAATAGGATGGTTTCAGAAGCGTCATTGTAACAGACCTATTTCAAAAGATTCAGTTGCTAAATTCGACATCGTAGCCCCTTTGCAGATCAGTTATTTAGATTTAAAAAGAGAAGGGAATCTGTGCTGTTATCTGCGTGGCATTTAGTCTCACACAAAGAAAAGAAGAGCACAATAAAATAGGACTAAGAAATTATTGTTCCAATGATTGTCATTGAACTGTTACATTAGTAAACATTCACAGTATGAAGTCTCTCTCAATCTCCAGCATATAAAGTAGTGCAAAGAAAAAAAAAAATTCCAGTCCTGGTATCTGTGAACAAAACTTGTTACATTTTCTCCGATGTCATTTCTTCCATATTGTTAGGCATTTGCTCTCATATCGCCCCAAAATTAATAATAAAATATAATCAATTTCTAAAGGCCCCTGCAGCCTTTTTAAAAGTTAATTTCCAGTTAAAAATAAACTTTAATTAAATGCAAGATAAAATTGTGACCTATATTCTATTAAATAATTCACTTTCTTTTTTTTTCTACACAGTAATTCTTAACAATTTTTTAAAAACAATCATGGAATCCAAAGACATGAGATGCTATTAAAGCACTGATAAACGACTGCTCAAATTCATTAGTTCTTACATAGTAAATACTTCATAATGCCAACTTTCCCATCACTGCACGATTACTAAAAAACGTTGACAATTCACTTACACATACAAACACACGCAGCACACACACACAAACACACACACTCTCCATGAAACCACCTTAACTTTTAACATCCTTTCCAGTTAATGTGCAAAATTCTTGCATTCTAATAAAAAATATAAAGATCAATTTGCTCCTATTTAAGCCTCCCTCTCCTCCAAGATGTATCATTTATTTGATATGTAATACAAGTTTGTAACAATTATGCCACGTATAACCATTAAACGGTGTACTACTGTATGCGTTGGGCTCATTTGCATATTTCATTTTCATAACTGCACTCTCTATGCATAAATATATTTGGAGATGCTGGGCTTGGGGGCGAGGGGGCAGTACGGTCAGAGAACAGGAGTCACACATCGGTCTCCACAGCCTTCGCGTTGGAACAGTTGTTTTTATCTGTCTCACTGTCATCTCCCTTTCCCTGACACTTCTCCTTGGCACACAGAGATTCCTTAACTCCTTCTTCCATCTCTAGATACTCTGACTTGTCTCCCAGGGAGGAAGAAGTAGAGCTCCGAAATTTCTTCAGCAAATTAGAAGGGAGGTATGGGCAACTGACTGCATTCTGTGTCAGCTGTGTCTGTTCCTCATTTTCAGTCTCTCTGTGGTAGAAATAGTTAAAGTTAGAGACAATCACTGGTACTGGCAAAGCAATGGTTAAGACACCCGCAATGGCACACAGGGACCCCACAATCTTGCCCCCCACAGTGATGGGCTTCATGTCCCCATAGCCCACAGTTGTCATGGTCACCACGGCCCACCAAAACGCATCTGGGATGCTTTGGAAATGGGTGGTCGGTTCATCCGCCTCCGCAAAGTACACAGCGCTGGAAAACAGGATGACCCCGATGAAGAGGAAGAAGATCAGAAGGCCCAGCTCCCGCATGCTGGCCCTGAGGGTGTGGCCCAGGATCTGCAGGCCTTTGGAGTGCCTGGAGAGCTTGAAGATCCGGAACACTCGGACCAAACGAATGATCCTGAGGATGGCGAAGGACATGGCCTGCTGCTGCTGACCATTGCCACCCCCCTGCTGCTGGGCCAGATCGGTGCCCAGGGTGATGAAGTAAGGCAAAATGGAGACAATGTCAATGATGTTCATGATGTTTTTGAAGAAGAGTGCTTGGCTGGGACAGGCGAAGCAGCGAACCACGAACTCAAAGGAAAACCAAACGATACAGACCGTCTCCACGATGAAGAAGGGGTCGTTGAATATCGTGTGCCCTGAGCTCTCCGGGGCGGGTGCCGAGGTGTCATTCAACACCCCCCTGAGCCCGCCCCCACTCAGAGCCATGATGAGATCCCTGTCGTCCCTAAACTCGGGCAAGGTTTCCAGGCAGAAGATGACGATGGAGATCAAGATGACCAGGACGGAGACGATGGCTATGCCCCTTGCCGGCCCGGAGCTCTCGGGATACTCGAAGAGGAGCCAGATCTGCTTCTTGAATTCGTTCTCCGGCAAGGCCCTGTCCTCCTCCTCCCTCACAAAGCCCTCGTCCTCCCGGAACTTGAGCAGGGCCTCCTCCCCCAGCTGGTAGAACTTCACCTCCTCGGTGAAGATGTCAAAGGGCACGTTGACCGGCCTCTTCAGGCGGCCTCCCGACTGGTAGTAGTACAAGATGGCATCGAAGCTCGGCCGGTTCCTGTCGAAAAAGTACTCGTTGCGCAAAGGGTCAAAGTACTGAGTCCTCTTCTCAGGGTCCCCCAGCAGGGTCTCGGGAAACTGGGCCAGCGTCTTCATCTGGGTCTCGAAGCGCAGGCCCGACACGTTGATCACCACCCGCTCGCAGCACTCGCTGGAGCGGCCCGAGCTGTAGCCGCCCGCATCCTCCTGGGGCAGCAGGTCGGTGTAGGAGCATTCGTCCCCGTGGTCGTCGTCGCTGTAGTAAAACCTGCCCTCCTCCTCCTCGTCCTCGTCCTCCTCCTCGTCCTCCTCCTCGTCCTCACTCAGCTCCCTCAGGATCTTCTCCTCCGAGCCGCTGGGCATCAGGTCGGCGCAGTGGGGGAAGCTGCTCTGCCGCGGGTGGACTTTCTTTCTCTCGGGCAGCTGTCGCCTCCTCCTCCGACTACGCCGGCTGCCCTGGGGGTCATGCGAGGTGCAGGCGCCGTGGGACTGGTGGTGGTGGTGGTGGTGGTGGGAGCCCCCGCTGCCTTCCACGGCAGCTGTGGCGGCGGCGACGGCGGCGGCGGCGGCGGCCCGGGAGTGAGCCAGCCGCTCCCGCTCCCGGGCCCGGGCCTGGGCCGCGTACCCGTAAGGCATGTGACTGTTGCACCCTGAGCTCTCCGCACTCACCATCGCCACCTCCATGGTGGTGGTTTTGGGGAAATGGCTGGTTCCAGTTGTAGAAGACAACAGAAAAATAGGGCAGCTTTTCTTTTTTTCTCACCGAATGAAGGTAAGTTTGGAACCCTTAAGCAGATTGCTTGGAAGACTCGGGATATTTTCGGTCCAACTTTGCATTTTCTGTTTTTAAATCAGCACGCCCCATGCTCTGTCTTCCCAGGGATTCAACACTGCTCTCCAGAGCTTGGCTGGTCTAGATAAACAACCTAGCACTCCCTCTCCAGGCTAAGTCATATCACGTTGGGGCCTCCCAAACACCTGTTTCGGGGTGGATGTTCAAATTTGGAAATACGTCTAGGACGGGGTTGGTGATGCTGCCGCAGGATTCAAAGGCAGCAAGTCTCTGACAGCCAGCAGTTGTGCCTAGAAAATGGAATATATTTTTCTGCCATGAAATCTGTCCAAATCTGAGTCCATCAAATTTAAATAAAATGCAAATAAGCCTTTAGTCTTAGCACTTGCCTTCCAGTGACTGCTTGACCCATGTTAACGTGGGACTTGAAGTATGTCCAGCCATTGCCACTCACACCTATCAGGATGATTGTCCAGGCTCTCCCCTTAAGTTCATCACAGGTTTCCTGGACCCAGGGGCAATGCCAAGCTATGGACAGAGGCAAAGACCTTGGGAGGTAGAGAAGGTGCAAGATGAGGTGTCAGCAGGGGCAAACCCAGTTCTGAGGTCTCCATAGAAATCAAGAAAATGCAGAGCATCCTTCAACTAAAATCATGAAGAAGCACTTCACCTGAAAAAGGAAGGAAAACAAGCATAGAAGAAAAATGAAAGGAAGAATCCAATCATAAAAAAAGCAAACTGAGCATTTCCTTCACATATACTTCTTTCTTCTCCTCGAGCCAACCATATAAAGCACAAAGCAACCATAAATTTCCAAGGAGTCTGGGGCAGGCTGCTAGTTCTCCTCACTAAATATCCTTCTTTCCTTCTTCTTTAGATATTATTTCAGCTCAGTCTATTTTCTTGTCACTCTCATCATTCCACAATAATAATGCTGTCACTTTATAGCTGCTTCCATCATGCATTGATCTTAAGGCATTTTTAAAATTTTCCACTCATAAAATATTTCTGAATTTGGTGTCCTTCTACCCCCTCTCTATCTTGATTCAGGATTAGAGAAGTCGGAAAAACCAGTTTTCTTTAATCCAGGCTCCAGCACTTGAACAAGCTTCAATAACCTCATCTACATACTGAAGATAATGCAACCTCCCCACCCATCTGTATAAGGATTAAATGAGATAGTGGATGTTGACAGAATAAAACATTGACTTGTACATAGTGAATATCAATAAACGCTGATAGTTATTTATAACATGCCAGTACTCTAAGCTTTTATTATCTATCTACCCACCCCCAAATGTGTCTGTGTGTCCTTATACCACTGTCTGAAGCAGGGGAAGGACAGAATGTGAGGACATCCAGGGCATTTTGAGACTTGCCAATGGCCTGTCTTAAATTGATACTTTCTGACTCCCTGAAGCATGTCCCTGTTATTGTTTTCTGTTCCCCAGACTGGAGAACGCTCCCTGCCACCCACAGCCTAGGAGCTAATCCCAGTTTCCACTTCTTTAATGACCATTTTGTCTTCTTGCAGTTCCTCCATGTTCATCTCAATGCTCCCTCCTACACTCTTCTCAAGGGACTCTCTCCTTATGTTTTACATCCCAGTTTGTGTGGACTTTGTTTGCAGCCTATCATACCCCCTTTCAATCATTCCATAGCTCCCAACCCCCAAACCCCCACTCCTCTCTCTCTCTCTCTCTCTCTCTCTCTCTCTCTGCCCACCTTTATACCCAATCTCCCACTTCCTGATCACATCCTTCTTGCAGCCTGCTCTGTCCCCACTGTTACTTGGTATTCCTGGCCTTTATTCTTCCTTCGTTTAGCTTTCCCTGGGGTCAGCTAATTGGTCTCCTCCAGGACTTATAAAAGCTCCTGCCCCACTCTTCTGTCTATTCTTGTTCCTTCCATTCACTCTATCCAACAGGACTTCCAAGAATGCGGAAGAGTGGCCCAGAGAATTGGGGAGGATAATGACAAAATTCAGGGCATCTACTCACTTCTATTACTGGAAGCACTTGGGGCACATAAGAGAAATGGTTTTCTGGAGCCATTAATGGGATTCAGCTCTTGACCACCTGCTGCTTGCTTCTTGCTGAATTGTATCAGCCAAGTTTTATGAAGTGACAAGCAGGGAAGTGGCAAAAATACATCCCTTCCCAATCATATGCATTCTGCTAGCATAAGAGGCAAGTGTGATTGGAACACAAAACCCAGAAAACACACCTGTGAAGGTGTCTCAAATGACATTCTCTTCCTTTGCCTGGCTCCTAACATCATCTCATACTCAGAAGTGTTTACCCTCAGGACATCTCTAAATCTCTATTTTCACTGTGGAGGGTCAGGCTGACATCCTTTAAATTCTTTCATAGGCCAAATAGCTTGAGAGTTTGCTCAGTTACTTGCCCAACTCTCTCAAAGTAGTTAAAATACACTATTTTAAATAAAGCCCCAGTGGAATTCAAGTGCCTGTAAATTTGTATACTACGTACACCCCTCTCCCATCCCAGAAGGTCATGAATTAGAGGGTCTTCCAATCCACCATCAATCAACTCTGTAAGAGGCCTAGACCAGCCCTATTTTTGCTTTACACCAAATAATTTCTTATTTTTTAATTTTAAGTTTGCTAGTTGTGGCTTATCCAACTCCCCCAATCAAGAAAAAGCAAATTATCTTCCTTTTCATTGGCTACCAGCTGCCTCAGTATCCCTAATCTTAAAGAAAATTTAAAAAGAATTTAAATCTAAAAAAGAATTTAAATTTAAATTTAAAGAATTTAAATTTAAAAATCTTTCCACCCAACAAATCAGACTGGTTGAAATTTTCTCTTCCTTCTCAAGGTATTCATGTTAGAAGAATCTATTCAAGCCAACTCCCAGGAGCCTTTATGGGGGACACTCTGCAGGGAAATGTCCCTTCCTCTTTAACACCATCAAACTAATAGGATTTTGAAGACTACCAATTTCCAAGTCCCTGTTCCCCCCAAAAAACAGCCATGCATCCTGCCCCTCCTCCTTCCACCCCTCAACAACAAGGCTTTTTTCATTTCTCAGGGCGAATTCCCACACCTGTCTTAGGGTGGTACCTGAACCGAGAGAGAGAGAGAGAGAGAGAGAGAGAGAGAGAGAGAGAGAGAGAGAGAAGAGAAGAGATTGAGAGAATTAGAAAGGCTAAGAACGGTGAGAAACATACACTTCAGCGCTCGCCATTTATAGTCCCTATGTGTTGCTCAAATGCTCAGAAAATGCTCGCAAATCCAAATGTTGGGAGGTAGCAGTTCAAACTCGTTCACCAGCAGTTCCCAGAGGAATGGAACCGGTGGGTCTGGGATGAGGCAAAACGATGCTAAATCTAAACCCCACCTCGTTGGGAAACGACATCTTCAATCGCGCCCTCGCCTCCAGACCTAGGTTCCCGCTTGGGCACATCAAGCAGGGCGCATGCACCCCATCCCTGGGGTTGAGAAAATAACAACTGTTGGCCCCCCGGAGCGTCGCGCAGCATCTGCACCCCCCTTCTCCCACCTCCGGGTTTATTTTTAACCGCCTTCCATTCATGCCCTTCTGTCACATTCTCGATGTTATTTGTCCCTCAGATGTCCACTGTTTCTTAACAGCCAAATGAGGAGAAGGGGAGAAAGATAAGAGAGGCATAATACTTACGTTCCCAGGAGGGGTGCAGAATAAAAATAAAGACAATCCCAGGGTTGGTTTTGATTTCCCCCCTCAAGCTGCAACAACTGGAGGAGGGGAAGAATGATCTTGGGGCTGGAAAGAATCACGTCTGTGTGGCAGGTGTAGGCTCCAGTATATCCACGGAACAAGTTCTGTTGCCTGGCCAGGGGGGCACAGAGACCTCGCTGCTGGAGCCCAGGTGTGGGGATCCGGTCTGCCCCAGGGAAGACCCCCCCAAGACGCCTGGTTCCTCTGGAGTTCAGCACAGGAGGGCTCGCCTGGGAAAGGAAGTCAAGGTTCCCCAGAAAAAGCACAAAATCCTAGACAGCAGCGATCACTTGTTAAGCCCGAATTCCTCCTCCAACATCCATCCCTCTCCCTCTCGCGCTGTCTGCAGAAGCAGCACACGCCTCCCAGGGCCGGGAACGCGCGCCGGCCGGGGGCGGGGCCAGGGCCGTGCCGGGGGTGTGGCGTTCGCAGCGGCCGCCCGGGGCGCCTCCCGCGCGGGGGGGCGGGCGCAGTCACGACGCTGAGACTGCCCCCCGCCCCCGGCCAGGCCCCCAGATGCCGAGGCTGGGGGAGAGACTGGGAACCATTCCAGGAGCCCCTGGCTGTCGCCCCCGGCATGTCCTTTGGAGCTGAGATGCGGTTCCCGACGGCAGAGCCAGAGCCTGGAGAGGTTGGGGGGCTGACCTCTACGGGAGGTCCAGCCTTGGCAACAGGGTGCCTCTGGGCGTCGACCCTCCCTGTCCTCCTGTCTCTGCAGCTCCCTTGGCACCCCACCCCTATAACGTGCTTGTGGGGACAGGGGCCTGGGTGCATCTCCGGCGGGGCCGCGGGCCTGGAGCCCTCCCGTCACCTGCGAGCGTGCCCGACCCCTCGGTGGCCGCCTCCCTTGCACAGTTTGTCCGCCTCACATCGCGGCCGGGCCTGCAGGGCGCAGAGGAGATGGACTTCACGTGTTCCACCCAGAGGAGGGGTGCTTTCAGGAGTTGGAATCAGGCCCGAGCTCCGGGCTGCGCGCGGGAGTCACAAGTCCAAGTGGGAGGAGGACTCGGGGCCGGTTGCGAGTCCGGCTTGGGGGCGGGGGGCTTTGCTTCCAAAGTGGACGGGGCGTCCCCGAACCTGTTGCTACAAAAAGAAACAGGACTCCGCCAGAGGTTTGACCCCGGGAGATTTCTATCTGGAGGTTTCTATCCTAGCGGTCGGATCTCTAACACCACCCTCCTCACTTAAACAACAAAAAGCTTATCACTACCCCGATGGGCAGACCGGGGCGAGCTAGGCGGGGTCCTCACCCTGGGGTGGACTCCCAGGTTGCTTATTAGATGCGTGAGATGCCCCTGGACGTGGACATAAATATGCAATTCCCTCAAATACACCAAAATAAAGGATAGCGATGGGAAGTAGAAATTTACAGCACACGACCAGAAGTTCAAGTGGTGACCAAGGCTCAGCACCTCTCCTTGCTCCCGGGGATGGGCCAAACACTGGTGGCACCTGCCAAGACTGCTGAAGAAAACCCGCCCGTGGGCGGGTCGGTTGGCACCCAGGCCACACTAGTCCTCAGCTGGCAGCTTTGTTCCAGGGCCTTATTGGGCCTCCTCCTTTTGTGGCACTCGATTAATTATTAAGAGAAATATTCCTGAGCTGAATTATAGATATGCCCTGTGCTCACTCACCTAACTGCTGCGGGCTCCCTGACCGACACCTGGAAGACTGCTTTTCGTTG